GCGCCAGTTCGGGGCCACCACCATAGCTGGTGGTCACAACCGGCCGGCTGGTGGTGGGTCGGTGCGTTAGGTCCATGATGTTGCTCTGGGTGGCTGGGCCCCATGACTGGGTCACCGTCGTTTGATAGAGCTTGGTGGTGCGCACGGGCTGCGCTTGGGATTGGGTATGCGGACTGGAGGTCAGTGACTCCGCCTCCTGGCTAGGATATGTGTGGACATGGCTGGACAGCAAGTTAACTGCGAGAAATGTAATTGAATTAAATGAATTGATAAATCAATCATAAATAATGCTTACCACTCAGGATCAGGGTTATCCAGAACCAGTGTGACCACCAGTAGAAAGTCATGATGCGTCCCGTTCTGTGATCTTGCGACGACTGCTCCCAAGCGCTGGAAGAGATGGGGAGAAAGAGTGGGTGAGGATGAGTCAGTGGTACGGCTTGGGGGAAACAATTGGCATTAAGTGTGTGAAGCTCGATGAAGTCATCGAAATCGCGTTTTCAAAATACATTTCATATTCTGAGAAACTGGTTTAGTCGCCTGTCGCCCCGGAGGAGTTGCCATTTTTGGCCATTTCTGGGTGCCCCCAATAGCATCCCGCCTACACAGGAAAAAATTAATCCCTTCAGACTTGCCAATTATGACTTGAAGTGTTTTTGCAGCATTGCGATTTTGATATGAACGTCCCTCTGATAACATAAAAAGAAAATTAATAACATTGGCTAACAAAGCAAACAGTAATTGTTTTTAAATGCTATTTAATAATATTTTTGTTGTACAGCCCCACCCACTGAAGGTCGACGACTTGTGCGCTGTAAACAAAGGCCATCTTCAGTCGCATCTTCGAATGATTATTTTCAGCCAGCCCATCCCTTGTTGCTGTTTGTTAATTCCATTTCGAGTTTATGCCCACGCCAAAAAAAAAAAATAAATAAATAACAAGATGTAACCGTCTTAAATGGCTCTGACTGTATGGGCCAAACACTTTGAGCCTCTCGTGCTTGCTCTTAATTGTTTTGCCCCTTTGTTCTGGCCAACTGGCAATACAAATAAGGCCAGGAAACTGCAAATGAATGGGTTCGAAGCTGCGCTGCTCAGCGCAAAATATGAAAATATATATATATACATTTTGGATGCCCAGAAAAAAAGAAATATATCTGTGAGATGTGTATTACGTTTTGAATGAACATTTAAAAATTAAAATGAAGTCGTAGCGCACATTTTCATCGTAAATGTCGAGCATACCCCAAGAAATACCACAAAATTAGCATTCCAATTTTGGGCGGCTGTGAAAATACAAAATTTAGTGGTAGCTGCTGGGTTTTTTGTTGTTAATGTTTTCTCTTCTTTTTTTTTTTTTTGTTGCTGTTGTACACAAACTTTTGGCAGTTCCAAGAGAGTCGAAAACCACAATTTGAAGCCCGGCCTGATTCGCATTTGTGAGGCACGTACATTTGCTTGTGCTAAAAAAACCACTCGAAGCGAGAATTTGCTAAACTTATTATGCCCATTTATTTGGGTTAATTGCCTTGTTTGAGCTGTGTTCTCCGGCCGATAAGATATGTATGGTGTATATCTAGACACGGGACGACCGATGAAAGTTCACCTGCAACATTACGCATACGCCACTTGGCACACGGCAAGATACCCAACTACGAACATAGTTGACATGACGGCATCGTGCGTTAAAGGTCACACAAATCATTTGGCCGCCTGCTCCATGTTTTATGCTCCATGGTAATTCGAGGGGCCATAAAACAAAACAGCAATTGTTTAAAGCCCGCCGGGCTTATGGTGAACAAAGCCAAGCAAATGGAGAAGTTCTGCGAACCATAACGAATGACATCCATACCACACTGAGTTTCAGCTTCCAAGCCACGGGGCATGTATGGTATGGTATGGTATAGTAAGGTATAATATGGTATAGTATAGTATGGTATAGTATGGTATAGTTTGGTATAGTATGGTATAGTATGGTATAATATGGTATAGTATGGTATGGTATGGTATGGTATAGTTTGGTATAGTATGGTATAGGATGGTATAGTATGGTATGGTATGGTATGGTATGGTATAGTATGGTATGGTGTGGTTTGGAATGCTATGCAAATCTCATCAGCATCGTTAAACAATTTGCCCAGCAGCGGGCGAAGAAAAGCGATGCAACTCACATACAGTTCGGTTCACTTAAATAGAGTCTTTCTTTCAACTAAATACTAATTCATTATTTTCATGAATTTTATTGGAGTTACATTTTGCATGGCAAAAAAAGCATATAATATACTAATTGCAGTAAACTATTCACACATTTTCCACCACTTTAATACCATTATAAATAGGTACAAAAATGATTTTTTTATCACTCTAGTGACGAAGCGCACATGGAAAGTGTTTTTGCAAAATTAAAATCTGCCTTGGTTTTGTTTTGATAAAAAATGACGTAGAAACTTAAAGAATTGTGATTTTAATGTTGTTTATTAAATTAAATACCTGGTAGTAAATCTCAAATTAAGAGTTACTTAAATTTTTTTTTAAGATTCTTTTTTGTTTTGAACTTGGTTGTACCAAGTGGGCCGCATTTGGAATTGGACTCAAGGCCTTGAGCCCTGTATGCAGACCATTTCATAATACCACAAAGGCAGAGAGAAAAACCAAATGCACTTTCATATGCCCGCAAAACTGGAGCAAGTGCCTCCACATTGCAATTAAGCCCTGCCGCAATGAAAACACGAAGGGAAACACATAATGTACATATTTGTGTTGTCGTTTTCTTTTTTTCTGATACTCTTTTTCGCTTTAACCATAAAATGCTTATTTAAATTTTAAACGACATTCGCAGTCATAATTTAAACGCTTGTTAGGCTTATTTCATATAAATTAAGTCGCTTGACTAGTGTTCTGAATAGATTCAATCGCTAAAAGCTAATAGCCAGCAACTTGAATTTATAATAGCACCAAGGCGACATCATTTATTGTACGCTTTAATTATTTTGGCTTATATAATTGGGTTGGTCTAAAATATAGGCCAATGGGAACAACATTTAATTTTGGTATAAAATAAATGAACTAATAATGGAAACATTATTTAAATAGTTTTAAATTGTTCAAGAGAAATGAGAACCACCCATGTTTATTTTATGAATGGGCGTCATTAGCCCATTTATTATGATTTTTTTAGTCTTGACAAAGCTGACAACAAAAGGAAAATGCCCGGTTGCAAGGAAAAACCAACACCTCAACGGCGAAGAACACAATAAAAATTAAAGAAAATAAAAACAAGGCAGCCTTCAAGTGCAGGCGACAAAGGCGAAATTGAAAAAGCAAAGTGCAATAATTATATGCAAGGGGGCGGGGCTAAAAAGAGGCGGTGGGCGTCGCTGGAAAAGTGGGTGGGAAAGTTCACGCTCACTTTCTACTCGCGGCACGCAAAAGTTTCAGCTGGAATCCAGCCAATGATTATTACTTCAGAGCCCCGAGAACTGTGGTTACCTTAAAAATCTCAATTAATTTAAGCGAAATGTAAGCTAAAAATGGGAATTCTAAATATGCATACTGCCGTAGAATTGCAAATCGAAGTTCGTCAAATGGATAGTGTGGGATGTAAATTACATATAAGTGTGAGAACTTGACTATTTTAGAAATTAAGCAATTCTGAATAAATGGCGGGCTGTTAAGATGACCTCATCCAACTTTGCTTTGTGTGGCTGCCATTGTGGCTAAATAGATATGTATATATTTATTGAAATTAGCAAACAATTGTTACTTTCTGCACAGTCGAAATCCATTTAACTGGTTGTCCCTGCAATTTTCCAGCATTTCACTTCTTTTCACCACGAAGCTGTTTTCTTTCATTGTCTGTAAAACAGTCTACCCACTTATTTAACAAATAACTTAATTTTTGGTATGCAAATCGAAAGTGAAGGCTCCCTCACATCGCAGAACAAAGTGAAATTTTATTTCCATGCGCCCAGCATACGACAAACCAAATGCCTCCAGATCGGGGTCACCACCAAGTAACGTGCGTGCCGCAACTGCAAAACAATAGCCCCTAGTGTTCAGATTTTATGTATTTGTAAACCACCAATGAGTTAATAAAAAAGTATAACTCATTTAGATACCGCTTCATATGCTAAATCTTAATATACACTTATCTTAAATGGTTCACCAAGAGGTAACGTAAGTATTTGGCAACAATTATATCACATGTATTTTTTTCTATGTCTATGATTGCGCAATGAACTCAAACAATTAATGAGTAATTATATAGAAATGCAAATAAAAACCCCTTCATATTTTAATTAGCCTATTGCATTTACGCTAATGCTTTTGATATCCAACTACTTGAACAATTTACCGCGTTCAATGACCAACACGCTTTCTTTACTAAGTGATTTGATATGTCTGGGCTAATACATATATAAATATAAAGCAATAAGTGCATGTTATTGAATAAACATACTATTTTTCAATTTACTTAACGAGTTAGGTGCATTTTCGCAGGTGCTATCAGTATCTTTGATTAGATAATGAATTCGAGCAAAAATTCGAATCATAATAGGAGGAAATCATACAGATGACAACTATCATTTATACACTATACAATACTCTTTATAAGGCAACTCATCTTATTTGATTTCCTTTTTGACTTGCCCAAAAAAAAGCCCTTTGTTGGCATTCGTTCGGTAATATTAGAAAATCAAACTGTCCGCCAAACAATCGACGCTGACTAGTTGATTTTTTCGTTCATTCAATTGTTGGTAAGCTGCTCGATTTTTTCTCCACGTTTTTTCGCATATTTTTCACTTTCTTCCACCGAGTTGGATAAAAAGTGAAATTTGATGGCATTTCTATGTACAATTTAAAGATATCACATTTGCGTTCATTCTAGAGGGTATTTAAATATACATATTTACTGCTGCTGTATTACAAAAGAGCAGTTGATTTTTAAAAAGTGTAATTAGTTTACAAATATATGGAAAATATTTGTAACATTACAAATGTTTATTAATACATAGATGAAAAATAAGATGATTAGGAGCACGGAACTAGTTCTTGTGTTACATTATCAATTTTCTTCGAATGAATTGGAATGGATGGTAAATGCTACACTATTCCGGTTTTCCTCCGGGGTTTTGTACATCATGTGACCGTGACTTGAATGACTGGAATGACGGCAGCTACTTTGGATTCCTGGCATTGGAGTCCTGTGGCTCACCGAACATAAATTGCGAAACATATTCCGGAAGATAGACTGGCCAATGCTGCTGCGTTTGACGCTGGTAAGTTTCGTAATCCGGCGATTGATGATAACTCGGCGTTTGAGCCTGCTGCAATTGATTATATTTGGGCACCACTTCCGGCTGCTGGTTCATCGAAAAACCAGTAGGAGAAGGACGGCTGTAAGCCGATGGCACGGTCATCGTCGATTGAGTGGTGAAATAGGAATTGGGATCATTGCCGTAACCTGGTTGCGATTGATAGCCATCATATGGGATATTCGAGAAATATGAAGACGAATCCAACTGGTTGTCGGCGGGATAAGTGTCGCTGAGATTTTGGATAATGCTCATGAATGCCTCCTCCAACGGGTATTCCTGCTGTCGACGCATCGTTCCATCCGCAGACAATTGAGATTGGTTCGACCTATTGGCATCCAAGACAGAGCCAACCGGTGACGAGTTGGGCACCGGCTGGGTTTCCGTCTCCAAGGGTTCTGAAATAGAAAAGTTATCGATCGACAGATTCAATGCACCCGCATCCTCAGGTTCAGCTTCCGTGGTTTCGGTACCGTCCACGCTAGCAGCCAGCGGATAACACTCCGGATAGGAGAAGAAATCCTGGGCAATCTTCTTTAGGTTCTGCATGCTGAATGGGTCGGATGGAGACTGGTTGGTTCCGCTGGTGCCCTGGCTTTTATCGGCTTGACTGGGCCAATTGAACGAGGCGGATGATGCACTGCTGATTCCCGGCAACTCCTGCCTTTCTCCCAAAACATTGCCAGACTGCCAGTACCATCCAGTTTGATAGCCAGATGCACCCTCTTTCAGTGAGGTATTTCCACCGTTCAAATCCACCGAGTGAGCACCGTCTTGCTCCTTGGCCAATTCGCTTGAATACTGCTGCGGAATCTGCACGGCGTGGCACTTTTCGGAAAAAACTTCGTCCTGCTGATTGGGTTTCTCCTGCTTGGATGTTTCTTGCTGATGGGTAAGCATGGTTTGAATGGATGGATTCTGCTAAAAAGTACTGAGTCATGGGATGAACTCGATTTAAACACCTTTCTCGTCGCTTCACCTGTTCCACATGGTCCTCCTGCTCCACGTGCTCCACCAGCACCTGCATCGGCACCTTGCCAGCTCGTCCAGGATTTGGACGAGCCCCAGTCTTCCGCTGCTTCTTGGCGTAAGCAGCGTTCGGCGTTATGATGAGCTGCCCTATCAACGGCTGCTGTATAATCTTCGGTGGCTCTAAAATACACGCGGCCTTCTCTAAGTTCTGATTTTGTGATTTAATCAAACGTTTGAGCTGCGCCTGTGACATTCTGGGAAATTTTTTGTGCGGCATTTTGATTGGAATTTTTGTTTCAAATATTAGTGTGTGTAATCCTGCTCGGAAGATATACGAAACTGAATAGGTATCAGGGAAATGCCTATGACATTCGATTTGACAGGAAGCGCCGCTTACTTGAAATTTGCTGGCAATTCTATTTCTATGTAGAAGTTTAGGGTTTCCACTTTCACAGCTGGCAGCGATGGCACCTCACAGTTCAGTTTATCAGCAAATTATGCAACACTGGATATATCTAAACTTATTCAAACACTTAAATAAATTAACAATACTGGATATACACATATATATATGTAAATATATGACAAGATTATACAACACTGGATATATCCTAACTTATTCAAACACATATGCACGCGCACAGATGCATGCATATATATATGAAGACTGTATACAACACTGTATATATATTAAACTAATTCAAACAACACTTAACTTAAATTGAATTCACATCACAGCGCCAAATGGTGGAATAGCTTAAGCCAAAAACTGTTCTATTATTATATTATTATAATATTATACAATCATGTAATATTGTACTGCGTAATATTGTAGCTTATGTATAATACATTGTGCTACTTAACCATTACCCTTATTTAAAACAATCATTTGTTTGATAGACAACATCCTTAAAAGCCTCGAATTAGGAAATCATTAAGGTCAAACCATGTACATATGTCAGTTTGACCCTTCTGATTTCCACATCATCATTCGAACGATGTTATCGCCCGATCTACTGTGAATTAATCATCGTTTTACGCAACTTCCCCCACATATGTATCTCCACCCAAAAAAAAGAAATAATAATAATAAAATCCACATAGCAACAATGGCGAATGCCAAGATGCGATTTCCATGGACCCTAAAAGACCAAGTTGCGTTTCCAGTTCGCTCCGCATTTCGTCTTTCATCTTTCGTCTTTGGGTTTTTGCCATTGTTTCGATGGAAGCTGCAATTGCAACTGCAACTGCGACTGCTGACTGGCAACCGGATATGGTCACAAAAAATCTGAAATCTCATTCCCATATGCGAGTGACGCTCTGCATATGATTTGCAGATTGTTGTTGGCTGTTTACCACCCCCCTCACAATTTCCCCATTTTCCTAACGGTACTCACAGTTGTAGTTGCTCCTACTTTGATTTCCTGTGTGTCTTGAGGTTTTCTTATTTTCGCGGCCGCGTAATTTGCTTCCTTCGTGCGCTTCAGATGCAACTGCAAGTAAATCGAGTGATTGAATAGATAGCTGTATTAGATAGAAATGGATATTACTTAAAGGTCCGTAGCTTAGATATATTTATACATTATTATATTTTTCAAACGACTTGTTGTAATTTGATTTAAAGTGCCAAGCTGATTCAGATGATTCGTTCACTTGCACCATACTGACTTCAAGGACAATATCTAGATTCCTCGCATCTCTAGATCTTTGGTCTGTTTTGGATGCCCCGCTGACTTGGACACACTCAGATGCGCTCCACTGCCGATCCGGCTGGGTAAGCCCACCGATCTTAGCCAGATATCGTCCCCTGCCGCCACCCCTCCCTTATCCCTTGCAACTATGGTGTAATTTGACTCAGTTTTTTGTTTTCCCTTGCTGGCTGCGTTTTTGGCCAATCAAAGCCAGACTTGCCTTGGCTTCGCCTAATTATAATTAATAATTACGACCCACTGGGCTGAGTCACAGATTAAGTTTACGTTTTGGTATCACTCTCAAAGTTCGCGATGCTTATGCAATGCGGTGCAATTAAGTGCGATAAGAACGTGCTCGAGTGTAACGGGTTGGACGCAGAACCCCTCGCTACAGCAGGGGGCAAATTATTAGGAACGAATTTTGGTGATTTATTCCATTTGATTAATAACAATGTAACACTATGGAGGTGACCATTTTTGTCGATTGTCTAGTATTGTGCGCTGTTTTCTGAAGGGCGCACCCATATGACGCGTTCGTGTTTCTTTGGTTCTGGCTGAGAAAGTGGGAAACCATTGCCGTTGACCATGTTTGGAGTGGCGCTTCTTATTCTGTTTTGGTTTCGGCTTCTGGGTTTGTTTTCCGTTTCCATTTCTGTTTGCGTCTCGTTTTCCATTTCCATGCGACGTGGTCGGAATGGCCAAGTGGTGCTCCTCTATTGGGGTCAGCGGTTCGTTGGTTGTGGGTGCGATTAGCTGACACCGATTGCCGGTGGTTGATAAGGCCAGTTAAGTTGCCCGAGAGACTGGGGCAAGTCGAATTTAATCGCATTGATTTCGTCTAAGTGCACCCAAAACTATTTACCCCAACTACCAAAAGTGGGTTTGACCTCAAAAGGCTGGCCGTTTGACCAGCAAATATGAACCCCATTTTCTTGCTATCTGGTCCTTATTAATTCATACTGTGCTAGGGTACTAGTTTGATGGGTAAATAATCGCTCACTAAAACCCCAACCAAATAACCTCATTCACTGACCAATATGACAGCATCTATTATTTACCTTGAGTTGGCTTTTAATACCTATTAAAAACCTCTATATTAAGAACACTAACTAGCCAATACACTTAATTATATAACGTATTTACTGGCAGTTTTGCGAAATCAATTGGTAAATTGAACAAATGAAGACATTTAAGCTCTTAAAGAGTTCATCTTTTAATGTGGTTTATATAGCAGCCTTTCTCTTCACTACTTTAATATTTTCCACGTGTTTTATTTTATATATTTTCCAGCTTGTCATCTCTCGAATGATGGTGGTCAAAATATTGCTACCAACGTTCGTTCAACTCATTGCGGTCTTTACAAATCTGGCTAGGAGCTGGCACGCCACATCCGAACGTGCATATGTATATATATTTTAAACATAATGATATGGCCAATTCCGATGTTTCACATGCGTCTGGCTTCAAGCTTCAAGCCAACTATGTGCAAATGATCGGGCGCACAAAAGCGAAGAAACTATTTGCCAAATTTTTAATAACCATAATTAAGTGCTTAGAGCCGGCCAGGAAATTGCATAATTTTGGTTTCTGTTGGGGTGGGGAAAGGGGTAAGGGGTAAGGGGGGTGGGGTATCCCCGCCCCTGTTCCCCACCAAATCTTCCCAATTATGCAAATGCCTGTGTCTCGCCGCGTTCTATTCGCGAATTAATCACGTATATGGCACGTAAAAAGTGGCGAACAAAAAACTTTGACGTCAGCGCCGAACCTGCCCCCAAAAAACAACTCACCCACCTTCCCCAGAATTTCCCCATTTCATATTGCGTTGTACATTGGGCGCCTTTCAGGGGTTCTCTGATATCAAGTCTATCACTCGAATCTGGAAAAAAGCACGTAACTGCCCTAAAATATTACGACTTGCATGTTTATACATTTTTGATGAAAATATTATTACTTCAATATAAAGCACATAAACAGATATGGGTTCGGTTAAAAAATGATTTCATTTTAAATTGCAAGTCAAGCAAGTCGAAAAATATGATTATATCAAAATTTAGGCAGTAAGAACAAATAACAATAAACAAACTAACATTTTTATCATAAAAAATGAATAAATAAATGTACATATCATTTTGGCTCATAAGTTATGCTCCGTTAATTCGTTCTCAACTGAAATCTATGCTCATTCTAGGCTTAATTATTTTTTCCGGTGCCAGGTTCTCAAGGTGACTATTTGTGCGCTGGGAAAAAACTTTCATTTCGACCAATGTTAATGACTTTCGGGGACTGCAAGAGGTCTTGGCATTGAAATCTGGTTATTGACGATTGCACGCGAGCCTCACATGTGGAATGATAAATCCATAGACACCTATATATATACATTTAACGAATAATATAACGAAATCGAGCCAAAGCGATCCGAAGGCATTGCATCTCAACATGTCTACCATTCAAATGGGCTTGGGGAAAACCTTTCCACTCGCTACCGTTTCAGACAATAGCTATATATGTTATACATAGGTGTTATGTACCCCCGATTCCCCGCAGTGCAGCACACTTTTACTTTCGGCTAATTGCACTACTTGGCCAGCAGGCGGCGCCACTTTCCCAAAACGACAGCATGCTCAAAATTAACAACAATATAATATGGATCTCTTAAAAAGCAATTTCCTTTTGTGTGTGAAAAAATGTAACAGACTTAAGGGCGATGGAAAGGTTAACAAAAGTCGTTGGCAAATTGATTGGTCGGTATGACATAATGGCGATGGCTCCTTCTAATTAATTACAATTAATTGTGCCTAATCAATTTGCCATCTCATGTCTACCATGCACTCATAATGCGTTACATGATTTTAAATATGGATAATTGGCGGAGGAGAGACGATATAACATACAGTCCGATCATTATAGTAAAGATATCTCAGTTCCTGTTTTTTCTGCCTTTTTTTAACTCGTATGCAGTATACACCTCTCGGTGTTTCCGATGCGGATATGAAGAGGGAATGGCTGTTACTAAAGGGTACAGGAAACATAGCGAAACTCGTTAGTATCAGCAGGGAAAATGAATAGTTTCCCATCGCAGACTAGACTTCCATGCACAAATGACTATTATCCATTCCATTAAATAGAGAATAATCTTTCCTGACTTGTTAGGCTGATTCCATTAAAGATGACACATTTTTAAGCATTAATGTAACAGTTTGTTGTTTATCCCAAGACATTTTTGTGTGAGTCACCAAGTAAATACCACAAACCCCTTTTTAAAAGTATTAAGAACGACTGCTGAAAGTAACAAATATTCCGTAGTCCACTCATTTGCAAATTACATCATCCGGCGACAGAGAAAGCACTTTTCAGTGACCTTTTTAATCACTGCTGAAATGCAGTGTACTCACACATTTCAAGGATTTATTCTACCCTTAGAAAAAATCGAATATGAAAAAACTCGGTCGCAAAAATAAGAAGTGCATAGACATTTATCCAAGAAAAGTCGCTGGAGCGACAATTACTCGTTCCGCTTGTGACTGCATTTTAATGGGCGAAAAATTTCGAGGTGTTGGGTGACTCAAAACTTTTTACGTAACGAAAACTTATACAAAATATATAATTTTCCGTATTGATAACGGTACCATAAAGGTGTCTTAACATTATCATTTCTCTAAGCAAATATATATTTATATATATATTTATTTTCCAGATTGGTTACGTGTGTGTGTTACACATTTAGTAAACTTTTTCTTTTAATTTTCTTGGCTGGGCTCCAGGCTTTTTAGCT